TGTGATTTTGCAAGTCTATGAATGATGATGCATGTTTAGTTCCAATTTCAAATAAAATTATCCGTTGTGAACTTGCACACCTAAATTTTTGGAGCGGTCCTGATGTTAATAATATCATGACATCACACGTTTGTCTTTATGACAAACAAATATGGAAGTGTACAAATTAATTTTTACTTGGTTATTTATCCTTATGGAAATGACTCAAAAAGCCTTGCTTTAGTTGATCATTTCTGTAACTTTCTTGTTTTAAATAGTACAGCAATTTATGAATCTATTAAAAACTTGCTCATTGGGTTTATTCAGTCATGACAATACTTTTTCCTTCTGCATGCTCCAGCGGTGAAGGGTTTAATTGGTCATTGAGGCTTTCTTCAAGGAGAATGGGATTGAGTATTCAGAATCTCTCATGTCAAAGTTTTGCAATTTTCCGGGCCGGAAAGTTGCCTTCTTAGTAAGTCAATTTTACTGTGATTATTATATGGATTTCGTTTATGACAACATCTTTTGGAAAAGGGTTATATGATTTTGACAATCTTGTATGCTTTTGGGCTCTGTTTCATGTTGGTTTTGGATGCTGTGGAAGATTGTGTGGGGTTGAAAATTGAAGGAAAGCCTGGAATAGTAGATGGGAGGTGAGCGTGTGCACTATTGATTCAATCAATGGTGCCATTATCACTACGTGGTGGTGGTGTTGGGAGGAATTTGATGGGGAGAGGAGCCACAGTGTTGGAAAGGTGGAAGAAAGTTTTTTATTTTTTGAAACTCACTGGAATACTTAGGTATATATTTGTTGCCACCTATTTGCATTAGTACTTCGATAGTAGAATTGACCCCACACATTATGTTTTGGTGATAGAAACATTCTTTTCATCAAGGAAATAAATACTTGCACCGTGGGATTTTTTTATGTGATTTCACTAAAATTTTATGCCATTGTCACACATCACTCATGCTTGTATCTGCAGAAGAAGAAGCAAAAATGGGCAGAAGACCAGAGGAATCTGTTGTTCAATTAGCAATTACCAATGTGAAGTTTTAGCCTTACTTCTTAGGTGTGATTGCTCAAGAAGAAGTTTTAGCTTTTATCTATAACGCTAATATAACCTTCAAAATATCAGAACCCGTGCATTGCACGGGTTAGAACTAGTAAGAGAAAAAAGAAAGAAACAGCT